ACTCTCACTCGTTCATCATGTTCCTCATTTCTTCCACAAATCAAAAATAAATTATTACGTAAAATGTCATACTTTAAAGGCGCAAAAAGAAAAAATGTTTCTACTGGATCATTTGCTAAAAAGTATTTCAAGAATTTGCTACAGTTAAAAGATAAAAAATTATAAAGGTTGTACCAGTACAATTTATGGAGGTTCTTGGGTTGAGTACTAAGTTAGGAAGTACTGTTTTTCCTAATCATTAGTAATAGAGGGGATTTGACCAACATGAGTCTCAACCACCAGATTTTACCTTTAAATTCATTATTTGATCCACTTAATATAGGCTGGGTGTTTCCAAGGAGGGATCCGCGACAAAAAGGCTGATAAAACGAAGTATATAATTACCATGACGCACTAGTGGATCCAGGATTTAGTTTTGGAGGGAGAGCTTTAGTCCGAAAAAAGCTTTGTTTTTATAAACATATATATAAAGATAATTACTGTGAAAGAAAAAGAACGAATCTAAATGTTAATATGACGGTAAAACCTGAAATGGTGTTTAAGTGATTCTTGAAGTTCTATTAAATGTAAGTACACGAACAATAATATTCTGAGAGATATTTTTTTTTTTCATAAGAAATGGTTACATTTTACCATTTCGGGAGGGAGAGTGCTTTACCCCGAAAGGCTCTATCCCCCTCTTTCCTTCCGTAGATCCGCCTGAGCCCTGATACAGCCGGAATTGAAACCAGGAACTAAAGCACAGAGCTACATTACACTACTTACTGAGTGCTACACTACCAACCAAACTCGTAGTCCAAAAAAGTTTGGCGACGCTGGGTGTGTTTGCATCCCACGCTTTGGCACCTTCTGAAGTGGGTTCATTGCTTTGAAAGAGAAACAACATTCTAGAAGAATGAAGTATATAGATAAAAAAAAGATGTTGCTTATTGCTGATTACACTCTATTTTTTTATCTATGAGTAATTACATAAAATTCATAGTTAACATAATGTGAGTGTGAAAAAATTAGACACTAGCAGAGATTGCGTAGCTATGGCCATAGGTACATTAGTAAGGCGATATTTATAGATTTTGAGTTGGAGGAAAGAGATCAAGGATAAGCATAATTTATAGGAATAATATCCTACATCCTGAATTCGTAATGGATTGATGTAGCAGATTGGGAAGGATGCGTACAGGCACGTTTTTTATGCATGAGCAACGTTTATTCCTAGCTGAACTTTATTTCTATAAGACAATCCGTGAACGTTCTGTAAGATAGATAAAACTCATCAATTGTAAAACATTATGACAATCTAAAATATTATATTGTAGCTATGCTGCAATAAAAAAATTTATAATTTTTCGAACTAAAAAAAAATGATAAAAGATGTGTTTATTTAATTGAATATAATAATAAATATTTATACATTAGTTTGTAGATGTCTCTTATTACTTGTTCAGAACAAACAAAATACGATTTCTCAAAAGGATCTTCAGAATGAATGGCCTAACTAAACGTCTTCCTGGGCCACTTCGATAATTTTGGTGTTTTTTTAAAAATATAACAGCGTTAATATTACACTAAGTTTCAATATGATCAACCTTTGAGTTTGGCAATTAAATATTTGTTTATTCTTTCTTCCACTAGATTTTTTATCAACAAATCAATCAATCAAACTGGAGTTCAAAGTCGCATTTACGCATTATAATAAAGATACCTGCAGACTTTCATTTGTTTAATATTTTTTGTAAGAAGAAATAAAAGTTTCCTTTATCGCAGATTAATTTGAAGGCGACCTCTTATGATGAAACGGTTTCCTATTAATGGTTCATGGTTTAGTTATTTGACAGAAAAAAATCATAACAGAAAAGTACGCAGCAGATATCTTTAAGCTAACAACGATTGGTTTTGTTTTTTCTTCTTTTTTTAAGATATATTTATAAATAACAAAAGGATAAGATGAAAACAAATGATCACAAGTAATTAAAAAAATGTTTATTTCACTAATATTAATAAAATTTATCATTTTATCCCACAAAAACTGATTGCCTTGATATATAAATACATTTAATCATGATTATTGATTTTTTTTTTCAAAATAAATACATTTTTTTCAACGATTGCGATTTTAAATTAGAGTGCACGGGACACACACAAAAAAATGATAAAACGCATCATATCTTCAGGGACGGTTAAACTGCACAAAGATAAAAAAAATTGTTTTTGTTTTCGTCAAGGCTATAGATTGAAATGAAACATAAATTGTAATTCATCAGATGAAGGTAGTCATTTAGTAAATTTTCATATATTTTTTTTTAAATGGCAGTTTACATAAATATTTAGTTAACAATGAAAAATGAGCCTATACGTTGATGACCCCTTCAACTTTAATGATCGAGGGAGCTGTAAGTGCTACTGAGGACGATATACCTAGCCGTTACTTTAAATCCACTTGAACAGACCCCCAAAAAAGATTATTCTAATAAGACTTAAGGTGGTACACATAATCGTTCCTCTAACTCCACTTCAACGTTCCGTCAAAAAGGAATACTTTTATGATATTCAATGAAAAAGGATTCCTTTCAGCCAATATAATATACACTACTACAATAAAACAATGATGTTAATGTAAATTGAAAACATTCATGTTACTTCCTTTACTCGCTGGATGCTCAACCGATACTTTGATGCATTTCCCTATAAACTTTTAAAAGAAGAAACCTGGTCTGGAAGGAGGCCTTTCATTGAATTTCATAAAAGTATTCCCTTTTGAAGGAAAGTTCAAGTGGAGTTAAAGGAACGGTTATGTGTATCAGATATCAAACCAATCGTTAATTAACTGAGGCTTATCCTTCACTTAATTAATTTCCGAACAGCTTTAGTAGGTATCTTTAGAGCCATTTTTAGAGCCACAATGGAGCAAAAGTACATGAAATATCACATTAACATCTATTTCTTAAGTTTTATAAAAGCATAGATCTTTCGACGGACTGATGACACCACTTCAGAATGCGTTAAATGATTCAAATGTATTGCCTAATCTACGCAATGCCTTATATGAAAAATTACTTTGAAAATTTAATAAAGGACCGCAGAACTTTCTTAAATTGCAAATTTGGTTTGGCTATCTATCTATGAATCCTACAGGTTATCTTTTTAAATAATTATTTCGGGAGTATTTAAGTTTTGGAATCAATTATTTTCAATCAGACATGTATCTTTTTGGGGGAGGGGATGTTTCAATGATTTCTGTGTTCGGTTGATCGACGCCATGCATATTAAAATGAAGTGTTCAGTTGTTGGATATAATCCGTAGCACTATCACTTTTAGTAGATCCAACGGGCGGATTTCTAGAGTGAAATCCACCAACGCTCACTTTCCTTTTAAGGAATGAGCCATTGTAGTCCGCCATAATACCGGGATAATGCTCTACGTTTCGATGAGTCAATCATAACCTTTAAATACCACACATCATTTTATAAAAGAAAATATCAATTTTTAAGAGATGGTGTCAATATGAATGGACATATATGTATTAACAATTAACTTTTTTAGCATTATCGAGATACATACATAGATAATTACGAACGAGACAAATTGTGAAAGGTGACAGATGTGCCCAGAAGGAGGATTCATGGCGTCATCAAAATGTTTGAGGGGGCATATTTTAACAGGTTTTTGAATTTTCAAAGTCTAAGAGACAGATACAATACATGGAATAGGCCGATCTACCGATATGATCTACTATTTTTCTAATTTTACCTTAGCTTGCTCTGTTTTTAAGAAAATGTGAGCAATAATATAGCTTGGAAGGAATAACTTTGTTTATTGCTAATCAAATCCAATGAATAAGCCATCACTTTTAAGGTTATTTTCTCCTTCTATTGGAAAAATAAGCACAGCTCCAAAAAAAGTTAAGAAGGAATGTAAACTTAATTTGCGTATAAATCAAATAGGCTATGATTTATGGTTCATCACGCACTCGTTAAAATTAAAAATCTTTCTAAATCCTCTACCTATACCACTAACAACCCATGAAGGGTCTTGGATTCATTACAATGAGAGTAAGTACTGTTACTAGGTCAGCGGTTGTGCAGGGAGGTGAATTGGCCGTGATCATGCGAAAGCGCCAGATTTTCTCCCTTAATTAATTATTTAATTAAGATTACCCACTTTATAAAGGCTGGATGTACCTAAGAAGGGTCTTCTAGCCCCAGGATCGATCCATGGCTGATGATAAATTATTAGTCATCAGCCGGATTCGAATATGGGACCTTGAGCTCTGGAAGTCAGTGCTCACCCACTCTAAATCTAATGATTTTTTTCATGAATCAACTTGAATATTGTTAAATAAAATCATTAAAAACAGTTTGAATTTAAACTGTAAAACAATAATTTCTTCGCATTCTGAAAATGATAGCTTTGATTTGAAGCTACTCATATATTTTTGTTATTTTGAAAGAAAATTAACGCTGTCCCTCATTACAAATTGTTACTTATTTCTATATTATATTGTCATTTTTTCACTGACCAAAATATTATAATAATTATTCAAACAGGGCAACTATAACAATTTTATTTATTTTTCCCTCCATCAACAATGTAATTTTATGTTATTTATGTAATCCTCCTACCTCATTTTTCTAATCGTGATGAAGCCTCACAACTAAGGCCGAAACTTCGACATACTTTAAATATATATTTTTCCACCTAAATAACCTTTCACTAACTATAACACCTCAACACTATTTATTTCTGATTTTTTTTTTTTAATTTTGTTTAGTTAACGTCATTCTTGAAACGAACATTATTTTACGATACAAGATCCAGATGGTCCGCTCTCGAAAGAAAGACAATCCATTCAAAGGCGCATTGTATTGTACCACCCGAGGACATTGAACAAGGAGATGAGGCTATGTCATTCCTATGCGTGAGCACAAATCCAAAAACAAACTCTTCATAGGCGATCCTTGGAGTGAATTACGAAGCAAGGTTTCGAATAACGAGACATGAGATGAGCCTTTGTCCTCCTAATTATTGGCTAAACCTGACATGTGGGCGTCAACAATGGGCGGCCTTGCTTTGTGGACCGTTAGCATCAAGGGCGCCCCTAGAAATCTATCTATCTACACGGCCTTTTGTCTTTTGTCGAGTTTTTCCTGGTTAGGAGAGTTATTGTTTGCTCGTTCAGGATCCAAGTACGTACTTGGCAATGCACTCATTACGCGCATTTCCTGTCACATTTCAATTGTAGCGAATGCAGAGAACAGTTCGAACACAAGAAATGGAATATAAAAGGTGATTATGATCTGTACCTTCCATAAACATCGTCATAAATTCGTGTTATTTTAAAATTAGTGATGACTTGGTGACCGCACTTACTAATGGAACTGCTGTTCAAGAAATAAAGCTGGTATCAAAGTTGTTCCTTCAACTTCACTTTAACGATGCGTCAAAAAGGAATACTTTTATGAAAATCATAGTAGGACTCCTTTCAGCCAATTAGATTGCAGAGACGTTTTTATAATAACAAGAAGGTTATTAAATTGAAACAGTCCCATCACGTTCTTTACTTTTAGGAGATGAAACATTGACTGAAAGGAGTTCTTTCATTAAGTTTCATAAAAGTATTTCTTTTTGACGGAATGTTCATGTGGATTAAAGAAACGATTAAACTACCATCCTAAGTAAATCAAACCAAACCTATCCAACCGTGAATAAACAGAGACTTATCATCTACTTGGTTAATTTCGGAACAGCGTAAATAAGTAATTTTACAGCCATTTTTATAATAATAGAGAGAAATTTCACAAATACCACCTTTAATATAGATTTCTTAGTTTTTTAAAAATTTCCATGTATCTCTCGATAAACTAATGAACGTAAAACTATTTAAGTTAATACTCGAAACTACATGGAATGTGAAAGTATTGGTAAAAAAAAAAAAAAAAAAAAAAAAAAAAAAAAAAAAAAAAAAAAAAAAAAAAAAAAAAAAAAAAAAAAAAAAAAACATGGAATGTGAAAGATACTTTAACGCGTTTTCACGGCAATGTTTAATATAAGAAGATACATCAAATTGCCTAAAAGGAGTTTTGAAGTTCAAGAGTTGCAGGAATTTTTGTCAAAAACGAGTTAAACAGCCACAAAAAAGTATCAGGACGATATTTTGGAATCTCTTGTCAAGCCCCTAAATGACGCTCTGTTTGCTGGAAGTCATTGCGTTTTCTTGCAGGATTCCGCTCCAGCTCACAAGGCCAGGTCAACCCAACAGTGGCAGCAAAGGAACATTCCAGAGTTCATCTCTGCCTCGGATTGGCCCTCAGGAAGCCCTGATTTCAACACACTAGATTATCGGCTTTGGTCCGAACTAGAGAGGATGGCATGCCACAGAGCACACCCTAACTTGAAAAGTCTCAAACAATCTCTGGTCTGAACAGTTGAGCACTATCCTCAAGAAGTTTATGAAAAAATTAATTTTCTGTTAAAATCTATATATATTTCCTTTTAACAATATTTATGAAAGGACTAGGTACAAAGATTTAAATTTAAATAGAAATCACACCACTATTGCAACATGTGTACTCAAGATTATAATGTAACCACAAGGATGTAAACATTATTGCGGGGTTATATATTGTAACAAAATTTAAACGTAAATAAATGGTCATTTCTAAAAGAATAAACAAAATAAATAGTTTTAAAAGAATACTTAGGTCATGGACTTTTTTCATGAATTGCTGAACGTTGTTGTTGTTGGGGGTTTAAGGCGTAAAACTTCGAGGTCATTAACGCTTAGGTGTTAATTTTGTTTATCTCAGTTATTGAACGTATTTAAAACAATTGGTTTCAATTTAATAAAGAATAAACCATAATTAAGAGAGTCGGAATAGATTATGTTTAAAATAAAAACCACGCTTCTCCTGCGTGATGGAAAAAAAATCATACTCAATTTGATCAATATTGCATTAGCAAAATGCAATAAAAATTAGTAGTTCATCATTGGAGAAAACGTCCTATTTTAGTTAAACAATTATTTCTTTAAACAGAATGCTATAACATTAATTTTTTAACTATATATGATCACTTTATTTAATATACATATTATTTGACCCAAAGAAAGTAAGCTAGAGCACATACTGCTTTTTTTTTTTTTTTTTTTAAGGATTTGATTTGGTACTCAGTTACAAAAACATTAACCATCTTATTAATTAAAATAAAAATAAATAATAAACCTGGTATGTATCACTTTACACATAAATTACCAGCCTATCTTAAGTATAGACGAACCCCAAGTCTTGAAACGGCTGACATCCTAGTTAAGAATGAACTATTTCCAAATAGTGAAATACTGCACAACATAAAAATATTCTTGTTTGGAAGAGAATTAATTAGTTTTGACAACTACAGAACAGAATAACACCTCTAACGTAAACAATTTGTAATGTAGAGTGTTAGTATAAAGGAAACATAATATCATGCATTATTTTCTGGACAATACAATATATAAACATATATGATGATTTGAAAATGTCTATGCATCTTGTAAGATAATGGAAACTTCTGGATTTCGAGAGGGAAATTCATAAATCCGTTTCGCTGTCACTTTTCCACGCTCCTCGTCTCATTCCCGAAGAAAGGTGAGATATCGTCCGTGAGCTGAGATACGCTCCAATCATGCAATTCAGCTTTATTACACTGATTGTTCGGTAACAGTGGAAAGCCATCTACCACAGATATTGATATGTGGCTAAAATAGGATATGATATTTGGCTTCCTAGACGGAGGTATAACTATCAGAAAGTTATCAAGAAGGATGCTCTCTTGGCTGGATGCGAAAGGTGAGGAAGATGAGGAGTTGCGGTCGGGGGAGCTTTGCATAACCCCAACCCTCTGCTTTCACTGCCTCTGGAGAAAGCTGCCACTTTCCCCGCTTCGCTTTGCCATCTCGCTTCTTCAACGGCGCTGTCTATGACAATCTGCCAACAATCGCAAAATCGCCGTTTCCGCCACCAAATAAAAAAAAAGAAAAGGAAAGAAAAAATTGGATTGGTGAAAACTGGAGGGTTTTCATGAATCGGAACTTTAGTTTACGGTCAATTATTACATCTTACAAACGATCAAAGATGATTTCCCCAAAATTCACCATCAATAATAGCACTACAATATTACAGGAAGATTCAGTATATATTTAATCTCTTAAGAGATAGCACATTTCATATCGACGGTCAATTAACAGCACAGGTTCCTAAGCTCATTGATGGACAAAGAAAATCCCTCTGGCTGTTCATAAACGTCTAAGGATCCATAAACGTAATTAGCGCGTTCCTTTATTCATCGATTGAATCACCGAAGGTAGGGCTGTTCTATCGGCTTCTTGGATCGATGGATTCTCTGTATGCAACTTATTGATAACTTCGATTATATTTTTTATTTACTTCACTTATTTATTTGCGGTTTACTTTCTATCTATATTACTTTCACTTACGTATATATGTAATATATAGCAATAGCAAGTATTGCGATCGTGAAAATTTTCGAATCTCAGTTTTTAACGGAAATACATGTTTTGAGGTCCCCTGAGTTGAAATAACCAAGTGTCGCAAAATGGTCTGTGTGTGTGTGTTAGCAGTCTAGCTCATAAACGAAAAGTAGTACGAAACTGATATTAAGTATTTAAGGTTTGTATATGGGGCGGATGTGACAGCAACTTTTTTTTTTCTGATTTGAAATTCAACAATTCCCTATTTAGTAACCTTGCCGCAGTGATAACCCTCCCGCTGGTATCCAATAGTTCGTTACAAAACTCAGAATAAATCTCTGAACATCGATATGGATTCTTTTGATATAATTACCGCTGAATTTAGGAACTTGTACAAACTAACAAAATATAGACGTGTTATTCCAAATTAGTTCTGTATATAATGCGAGTGTTCGTCCTCATTTCTTAGACATAATTACAAACATTTAGTCCCATCGAAATAAGTAGGAACACGAATTTCATTCAATATTGTATCTATTTTGCGTTTTTTTTTTTTAGTCCGGACACAACTGTATTTCAGCACTTAAGTCTGATCAAAATAATCTAAAAAGTCGTTGAAACAGTTAATATAATATTTTTGAATAATTTTATACTAATTCTATTACTAAAAAATAACTTTTTTATTAGTTCAAATACAATTATTCTGGAGAAAAAATTATTTTTAAAATAAAAAAAGGTTTTCAATAATAATGCTTAATTATTATTTTAAACAAGAAACATGAGGTCTTCAAATATTATTGTATAGTTTTATAAAAACGCATAGTTTTATGATTTTTATTATATTTAAATTATAACAAAAATTAAATTCCTAGAGGAGAACTTTTAAACAGGAAATTAAACTGAGATGTATAATTTATAGATTCATTAATTAATAGAGGTATTAATTTATAGAGGCCGAAGATTACATCCTGGCCCTCAAAACCTGTCTCCTAGATTTATTAATGCTTAATTTACGAAATAAAAAAGCATCTTTAGCTATTAATTAGGTGATTATTGTCAATAGTTAATCAATGAAATAAGTATAATTCAAAAATTAAATTTTTTTTTAAAGAGACTAAATTTATGTAATTAAACAATAATAGTGAGAGGTTGTGACTTGTAAACATAATTTCTATAAAACAGAATATTAATATGTATTGAAATCATCAGACACTGGCAAGTTCGAAGAAAATTCTTTGACATTGCAAAATCTCTTCTTATTAGTTGGAAGGCTGTCAGAAGTCGCACACATCAGTGAATCATCGATTTGAAAAGGGCAATGACACGGGTTTCTCTTTTCATAACGTTCCAATAGAAATTATCAGCCATTAAGATTGAAACCGTTTTTCTTTAAATAAAAAAATAGATAAGAAAAAATTTGGGGACCACTCCAGAAATATAATTATTTTCAGTTCTTCAATACGACTAAAAACCTTAACATTCTTTCATTGATCGATTTAAAAAAAAAATCTTTGCATATCCATTGGTTATTATGAAATACTAGAGAGATAAATAGCAAGAATATAGTCAATTTTCAGAATGAAGAAACACAAATTTTTTGATATAGCCGTTTTTGAGCTAAAATTTTATAAGAATAAAAAAAAAAACAGTCAGAATATCATGCTTTCTAATAACCAGTAAAAATATAGCTGAGTTGGTATTTAAGGCATTTTGACATAGAGTGCGATATATCTCAGCAATACGATAATTCTTTTCAGCGGCAATATGGCGATATAGATGTGTTACTATCTATTGCATTACAGTAGTCACACAAATCACGTTAACCTGCAGCGATACCGAAAAAGGGTCATATCGCCAGGGCATATCGCGTTCTGTGTAGGTGCCTTAAAGGTCCCGGCGATACGATTGGCATCGCTTCGGATTATCGCGTTCCGTGTGAACGCTATAACGCAATACATGGTAACACAACTACATCGCTATATCGCCGCCGACAGGAATATCGTATTGCCAAGTTATTGCCATATTGTACTCTGTGTGTAAGGGGCCTCTAATACGATAAATAATTTTCACATGCAATATTTTAGCCTTTTTTTCCTTATTGAAAATTTAAAAGAAAATAATAAGAAATAAACGGATTCAAAAAAATATTTCACACTGTATTAATAACACAATTAGGATTAAATTCGACAATCTACGTCAAATCCAGTTTTTAAAAACAATAATTCGTCTCACTTGGAATCCTTACACAAGACTAAAACTACCAGAAACTGCTTGACGTTTTCGACAAGCATTTATTAGACAAACACTCTTCATTTCACTTAATGAGAAAATACTCATATATATGACTATAATAATGTCTATTTGGACTTACGGAATTAAGCTTAGGGGCTTTACTAACCATCGAATTCCTCTCGTATCCAATCCTAACAATCCAAAATCCTTCGAAAAATCCACAGTGCTCCTTACTTTATCACAAATAAATTCATCCATAACGACCTTAATGTACCATATGTTACCATTTGGCCCAATCCGGGGATATCTATCATTGAGTTTCTCAACAGGTGTTTTCGTGTTACAATTTCCTGTTTTCGCATTTACTGATTCTATTTTTATTATAATAAAGTTGTAAATATCAGGAAAAAATATATAAATAATCAAAATCACATCTAATTTTATGTAATTATAAATCAGTAATAGAAATGTATTTTTATTTATTTTCATACGGTTCTAATATAAAAAATAACAGCAATAGATATTACAAAAAATATTAAAATATAGTTTTTACGCTTCGGTTTCAAGCGGAGAATTTTTTTCTCTCTCTATTATAAATTTAAAATATAGGAGAGCATAAAAA